CCCCCCCCCAGTATGCTGTTGGGAATGATTGCAATTAGAACTCTGCTTGGCCTCCCTGGTATCCAGTTTCAATAGAGACATTTCTGATCCCGGAGCTTATTAAAGACACACACTTTCAAACATCACCAATGCAGGCTCTTATTAGCTTAAATGGAGTCACTGTAGACTGTCTGCTCAGCAAAAAAAAAAAATACCTTCGTTAAATGCATAAAAATAACTCTCTTTCCCCCTTCCACTGTTTCAGTTCACTTTCCAAGCCAAAAGTTATTTTTAAAGCCCTCCAGTTCTATCAGTCCGATTCCTGTAAAACATACACATAAAACTGGTGTATTTTCTTCTGTTGCAGTGCCATTGTAGGCCTGTTGACTCATTCGTAGACCACCTTGTTCAATGGTCCCCATTTGAACATTCCCTGTCCCTTCGTTTAAATGTTTTTGGGCAGAGAAGGGGCAAGAGGTTGGTGTGTTCTTTCACCAAGGGGTATTCCTTGGAAAGAACTCTCAGTCCAGGCATACAACGTCCCCACCCCCGTGAATATCAGTCTGGCCTTGCTCCATATTAGACCCATGTGGAAGGGAAGGCTCTGCCCTCCAAAGCAGGATGTGTAATTAGGCGTTCTGATTAGTGTCAGCTTGCGCTCCTGACGTCTTTTGAGTTAAATTTATAAACAGGTAGCACATGAGGAGCATGGATGATGACACCAGCGGAAGCATGCAGATGTTCTGAAGAGACAATGAAGATGGCCATGTGTTTGCTCTTTTAAAGTTCACAGCTACCTTTTTAGGAGGACAGAAAGGGTTGGGGGAGGGGAAGCCTGAGAAAAGGGCACATGAAACAACAAATAAATTGATATTTTTAAGGACCAAAGTGTAAAAATGCCACACAGATACGCCAGTCCTAAAATGACTTCTTTGGGAAATAAGACCAGTTGATTCTAATTGAATTTAGTTCCAAGGTTTGGTTCCTAGCCTTAATGCATGCGTAATTTGTGTGCCCATGTATTGAAAAACCAATGTAACAACCTTGACATGTGGTGTTTTCTTTAATTATAGTGTGTTGCGTTTTGGGCAACAATATTGAATGCAATATGCCATAAGAGAAAGTGTGTGAATGCAAGGCCCCTGGTTTGATTTGCCAAGTGTGCATTCTGGTGGGTGTGTACCTGATTTCTCCATTAATGTTTCTGAGGAGCACACTGTTTATAGAAAAGTAATGCAAAGTTGCACAGATTAACTGCCCACCGAATCCTTTCCAAAATCCAAAGAGCAATGCAAAGCATTCGATTTGTGTTGTGTAGTAGTTGTTGTTGCTGTTCAGTCACACAGTCTAGTCCAATTCAGTTATCATCAAGGTGAGACTCAAGCCCCCCCCCCCAGTTAAGATATCTGTCTGTGGTTTTGCATGAGGGGTGTTGTAGTTATATTCAGTGCCATTAAAAATATCTTAAACTGTGAAAGCATTTTAGACTCCTTTTTAATGGCAGAAATATTAATCTTTTTATGATTGTTCAATATACTTTATAGAGAGCAGTTGCTAAGTATCCATTCAGAAATAGAACACATCCCCCCCCCCAATCTAAATAAGAGCAAGTTTCAAGTCCGGTAGCACCATAAAGACCAACAAGATTTCCAGGGTAGAAGCTGTCGAGAGTCAAAACTCCCTTTGTCCGATAATCATCCAAATGAGTTTTACTTCATAGGAGAGGGGAGAAGTGGGGAGAATCTGAAATGCTCATTAATTTGTGGACAGACAAATCAGTTGGAGGGGGCCTGCCCCCCGTGAGTTGCCATATGCTCCAACTGTAGGTTTGCTAAGTTCTTCCAGCTGCTACTGAAGACACATGACACCCAACTATTTGCCCAGGGGCTGGAGACCACGTGCTTTAGGGAATCCATTTCAGCACCCCAAGGCATGGACAGCTCTCAGGGTTCCCTCCTGTTAGAATGGGCTCTTCCCACATCTGAGCCTGGCACAGAACTCCTGTTAGCTGTCGCCTCTCCCTCCCACTTCTTTCAGCCCACTGGTCTGAGGCTGTCTGTTCCGTTTCAGCACCACAAAAACTGAACAGCGACCTGTGCTCTTGCAGCCCGTCTGCCGCTGCTGCTGCTGCTTCTGCGAGCAGACTGAACCGAGCCATTTGTCTGTCTATCTGATTAATTCCCAAACCAGCAGCCCATGAGGGAAGGAAGGAAGAGCCTTGTTTTGATTTGTGGAGGTCACCATGGGTTCCGTGGATTCTCTCTCTCTTGCAGGCATGAAGGAGAAGGAGAACAGGTGAAGAGATCCTGTTCGGAAGCCTGATAACCCTGGAAGTGTTTCATCAGCCCGTTACAGCCTTATAGAGACAAGCAATGCCTGTGGGGATGAATAAGAATGGATCTCGATCTACTACCTCTTTGCCTCCAGATCCCATGGAGATTGTCCGGAGCAAGGCCTGCTCCAGAAGGGTCAAGCTTAACGTGGGTGGCTTGGCCCATGAGGTCTTGTGGAGAACCTTAGACAGGTTACCGCGGACAAGGCTGGGTAAGCTCAGAGACTGCAACACCCACGAATCCCTCATGGATATATGCGATGACTACAACTTGGAAGAGAATGAGTATTTCTTTGATAGGCACCCTGGGGCATTTACTTCAATCTTGAACTTCTACCGCACGGGCAAATTGCACATGATGGAGGAGATGTGCGCCTTGTCCTTCAGCCAAGAGCTGGACTACTGGGGGATCGATGAAATCTATCTGGAGTCCTGCTGTCAGGCGAGGTACCACCAGAAAAAGGAGCAGATGAACGAGGAGCTCAAGAGGGAGGCAGAAACGATGCGGGAGAGGGAAGGCGAGGAGTTTGATAACACCTGCTGCGCGGAGAAGAGGAAAAAACTCTGGGACCTTCTGGAGAAGCCTAATTCTTCTGTAGCGGCCAAGGTAATGTCAAAACGACATGTTCTTTTTTTATCGGTCATGGCTAGGACTTGTGTACAGGAAGCAGAATGATGGTTGGGAGATGGGAGGATATGGCTCTCCAAGCTTTTTTGTTGTATTGATCTAGCTGCGGCCCATCACCGTAGTGTCTGAGTCTCAACTGCAACAGAAGGGATTACAGGAACCTAATTACTGCTCAGTGCTATGGAGTCTCCAGTTGCTGTCTTTTCTGTACCTGCATAGTAATGAATAGGTGTATTTTTAAGGGAAAGATAAGTGAGGCCTGTGTTACTGTATTTTGCATGCATACATTTTTAATGACACAACAGTGGAAGGTAGGGGGTTGCAGAAAACTGGGACTGGACAGAAAAGTAATTGGGTTGGATATCTTCAGAACACTAGAAATCTGGCTTTTAAATGTGAGATGTTCACATCGCTTGTAATGTTATTTTAATTCGTGGACTGTTTGGCTGTACTGTTCTCAGATTTCCTGGAAAAATACACAGGATTCATTATCTTCTTAGAGGTATATACTGAGATGCTGTTGTTTTTACCAATAGTTTTGTTGCTGTGGTAGCAGATAAGTTCAGCACTTTAATCATTTGAAACTGTCATGCTTTTACTTGACAATGGCTATAAATAATAGACTATATCAATTATAGATTACTGCTCCATTAAGGAAATCTCAGTTATCCAAAGTCCTTCTTCATTCATATTGATCTTGTGTGTTCCTCTTCTCTCCTGTCCAGACAGGGGTGATCCCATGAACATGTGTGCCAGATGTTCTGTTTTCTAAAGGCTGGTACTAGCTTCCATGGTTATTTTGATTTGTGCTGGTACTTTTTTAGCACTTCTTATTTCTAGCATTAATGTTTGTTTGGCTTATCTGGGGGGGGAGGGGGAACCCTTTTGCTTTACCTATAGTCCACATAGTCAGTCTTCTGTAACCATATTTGCCCAGAAAGCACAGATTCTTGAAAGTTTCTACTTTAATGCCCTCAATGTATCCATTAGGGAAGATCTGACTGCAATGTTCTGAATCCTTCATAGGAGTATAGAAGGGGAATATTTGTATAATAGGTAACCATAGAGCGTGGGATATAGAAGTCAGTCTTGTGCTGATATCTATGTCTGATGGAACTGATGAAAGGTAGCTTTGGTTCGTCCTTCAGCCAACAGATCGATTAATGAGAAACTGAAGTTCTGTATGGAGCATAGTTGGCTCGTGATTTGAGTGAAGAGAGGAGAAAGAAAGAAATCCTGGTGCTCTGAGTGGAAGTCAGTGTGGAGACTCCAGGGCTCAGTGGTGGTGCTCATACAATGTGGGTTCAGTCCCCGGCCACTCCAAGTTAAAAAGATGTCAAAGAGCACAACTGGGAAAGACCCAAAAGAATCATTGCTAGAATAGATCACACTAGGAAACATGGACCAAAGGCCCAGGGCAGGTTCAGATTTCCACTTAAGACACTGTTTTCCTGGTGCTCCAACCTGACCATCTAAGAGGTTCAAGTAAGCAGAATTTATTTATAAAGTAATGGAAGAAGGATGTTTTCAACTAATTTATTTTGTTCTTACTTCCTTGGATGGGGGGTGGGGTCTTCATGTTGAAACAAGAATGCTTGCATTCTGCATTTCCAGAATTGTGGAAGGCTAACAATGGTAAACATGACACTTCATTAGTAATATAAATTTAAGAACAAACAAATCAAAATGGTCACAGGGAAATAGAGGCCATGATGCTGCTGTCTCTACACGCACCGAGAAATAGAGTGGTTTATCCTTGGAGCCTAAATGATGACAATGGAGATTTCGAGCAAGAATCCCTGGGGAAGGTTATTCTCAAGATGAGATGTCAGTACAGGAAAAAATAGGCTTTCTCTCTGGTTGCTGCCCACCTGACCTCTGAAGGTGAGAGCGCACAGAGCAGGGTTCCCAAGGATGGTCTAAGAGCAAATGGGCAGGTTCATCTGGGAGAGGGCAGTCCTTCAGATAGCCTGGTCCCAAACCATTTAAATGGTTAGAGCTCACATGACCAAATGAAGCTCCCTATCCTGAGTCAGACCATTGGTCCAGCTAGCTCAATACTGTCTACTGTGATGACTAGCAACAGGGCCGGTTCCGTGTCCACCCCCAGGACCTCCACTCATCCCTTCCTTCTTACCCCCACCCACGTACCCCCACATACCTCTCTTGCCTGCTCATGACCACACCCATGGCCACCTGCATGTCCTTTCCTCAATAGCACTAGGAGGTCATGTGTTACTGTTATCCGCACACTATTTCCTGGCAGTGGTGGGCAGCCTGGGTATCTGGGAGCACAGGAGGTGGTGCACTTGCAAGCAAGTGGGTGAGGGAGAGGTGCTTGGGCAGATAGCAGGGGAAGGGCAGGGGCTGGTGGCAGTGGGCCCTGCCAGAAGCCCTGGGTAATGTCCCGCCTGTGGGTACGCAGATGTTGGTTCTGGCTAGCAGCTTCCCAGTGTTTTCAGGCAAAGAAGAACCTTTCTCAAGACTTTCTGCTTGAGATCCCTTAACTGGAGATGCCCAAGAGTTGTGCCTAGGACCTTCTGCAAGCAAAGAGTTGTGCCTAGGACCTTCTGCTTTGCCACTGGGCCCCAATCCCTCCCCAGCCCAAACCCACCACTTTGAATTGCTCCTGGAAGCATACCGAGAACTGCTTCAGCATCCCACTGATGTCTCTTTATCGGCGTGTTTGTATACAACTTAAGAGCCAAACCAAAAGCTACTTTTTTGCATAAGTTCTCTGTAGGGACTTGCAGCTATATTGCCAGTATGAGTCTTGGTGGCAACTCCTGTCTAAAAAGCACATATGGGCCTGATTCTGTTGGGACTGCAGCATGGGGGGGGGGGCTCCTGCCTTCTTCCACGTGCCATTTTCAGCAGCTGATACTATCCATGGGCTGCAGAAGTGGGTGTTAATTCACCACACCGAGGGGCTGTAAATGTCCACATGCAGCCGCCCAGTGGAGCAAATAACCCCCCTGGACCCCAGATCACTTTGGGTGCTGAAAATAGTGTGAAACAGAATCAGGCCCATCTGTACAAGAGTTGCCACTGAGACCTGTAGCTCCTATATGGCTGCCAGTCCCCATGGTGAATTTGTGTAAAATGTAACATCTAGTTTGGCCCTTATAGACAAGGCTGCAGGGTTTGAATTTCTGACACCCAGGTCAAGCTTCTTACCTTGCCCTTTGTCCTTAAGTAATAGATACAACATATAATATGTCATTCCTTCATTATACCCCATCACTTTTCTCTTTGGATTATATTGGGGAAGGGCCAGTGGCTCTGAGGAGGGACATCTACTTGGCTTGTAGAAGGTCCTACATTCCATCCGCAGCATCTCCAGCTAAGAGGATCTGGCAGTAGGTGATATGAGACCCTGGAGAGCCACTGCCAGTCTGAGTAGACACTACTGACTTAGATGGTCCAATGGTCCAGTTTAGTGTAAGACACCTTCATGCATACATGGAAGCAATGTCTCTATGCTTTCCCAGGCTGCAAGTTTCCATTAGTCATGACATATATCCGAAAAAGTTTGTCTGTTCAAATTTGAGAGAAGGTATGAAGGTGAATGCATTGGCAACATACTTTTTAAGAAATGCTGCAATACTGAGAAAGGAGGGTCCCAGAAGCAAAGCAGCAATTGTTGAATGGTGTCAGTCACCCGGAAAGCTTGTCAGGGTTTTCCCAGTGAAAAAGTTTGGGAACAGCCAACAGACTCCTTTGAAAGATAATTTGCTTACCAATATATTAACCTTCCCTTGTGTGATCAGGAAGATGTCATGTAAGATATTCAGTTCACGTGTGCCATGGTGAGATCCCAAAAGCTTTGCCCCTGGCTTGGGTAAGCTTGGTAGAATGTGCCCTAGAATCTTCTGCAACATTCAGGGGTCCCCTGGCACACTCCTCGAGGCTTCTCAGGAGGTATGCCAACGTTAAAAGTATTTTCTGTACAGAGAACGTTTAAAGACCACTCCCAGAAAATAAATAAGAGTTGACAGGTTTGGGGTTTTGTAGACAGTGACACTGTCTTGAGACATTCTGTTATATAATACTTGTCATTGTAACAGGCAGTCTTTATATTTCATGTTGTAAAACGTGGGATAGGTTTTTTGACACTTGACTTGTGGAACTCTCTGACACTGGATGTAATGATGGCCGCTGGCATAGGTATCTTTGGGGGGATTAGATAGTTGCATGTAGAACTGGTCAATCAGTGCCTGTTAGCCTCTGTCTGATGCCGTAACAGCTGCTAGGGGAGGGAAATCACTGCCTTACTTTTGTACTTTCCTGGAACATAGACTCATAGAGTTGGAAGGTACCTCCAGGGTCATCTAGTCCAACCCCCTGCACAATGCAGAAAATTCACAAATACCTCCCCCCACACCCCCAGTGATCCATACCCAGAAGATGACATCAGCGTGTCTATCCTGGAAAATGGAATGCCAGACTAAATGGCCCTTGGTGCGCTCTGGCAGGGCTTTCCTTATGATTATCGCTTGAGTATTCTGCTTGATCATGACAGGTTTTTCCTCAAAATAGTATCTATGAAGTTTCTTTTGAGCTCTGGGAAGTCATTTCAGAGATTAGGGGGCAGGTTGATGCAACGTGTCAGGAAAAAAGAACGGCGTGCAGCAGTCAAACAAGAATTGTCATTTTGGGTTTCTTGCAAGAGACAGATTCAAGCTGCCTTTTTTATTATTTCAGACGGAACAGGGCTGCGTGTTAATAATTTATCAGGGTAGTTTGGCGCGCAGGCAGGATCCAGCGATGCCGGCCTCCGGTTTCGGCAGTCTGTGGCAGAGACTCAGAATCCATTAGAGGCTGTTGATGCCCATGATTTATGGTGTATGAGGATGGGTCATCCTTGCCAAAGAAGTGTCTTTTGTGATTTATCAGTGAAATCCATCCGAGGTTTGCCTTCAGAGGAAAACGGGCAAAGTAAATGCATTTAGCAATTGCGGACCTTCCTGTATTCGGCTGCCATTGTGGGAGGGGGGTTGGTACAGAAAAGGAGACAGGGCTGGGATTTGTCAATTTTTTTTATTTTA